CGCTGAATTGTTCGAAAAGTGTCGCCTTGAACTCCTCGTTTGTAACCCATTCCCTCTCGTTTCTTCCATCTTGGAAGGGCATGATCTATTGCCCTGCGAGTCCTCTTAGTAGAGATTCCACATATGGAATCTTGATCTCATCATGGTGTTCTCCATATCCCTTAATGGCAAAATACCCTTTGCATTGTGCCAAGAATATTTGTATCTTGTCATTGGCTCCTTCGTATGTGTCCGGTTCTTTTGCTTTTGGTCATTGGATGTTTCCTTGTCCTGTGTTCTGTGTTGCTGCTAGAAATGCCAGAAACTGATTCTCAGTCATTCCAAGTATGCTAGTGCCTGGTGCTGGAGCAGCGGGGGCCGGTGGCCCAGGTATAGCTGATCCCGACATTCTCTCGGGTCGTGGAGTTCCTTGTTAGGTGGAGACAACCCGATAGACTTCAGAGTTGTCTAGGCTGATCGAGATTCGTTTTTATAGACAGAGATTGTCTAGGAAGGCTCGGACTTCACTCGTTTCGTTTATGACTACTAAGAGCGAAGTAAAGTAGGGTAAAGTAAAGTAAAGTAAAATCGTAAGAACAATATTATATTGTTAAGGTCTCTTCTCCATTGCTTGATGATGTCTAAAGCTTGGGAGGCACTTTCATATTTATATTCCGTGTCTGAGCGTTCGCGGACTACATCTAACTAACATATAACCATGTACCTTTTTCCAATATAACTCACAACATCGGGTTTTCTTCCAAGGTGCGGACACCTGGAGACCCTGAAAATCATCACACCCTCTATGATAATTATAATATGACTATTTGGAAATCATGCTGTTTTCAATAGTAATTATCCGATGGTGAGAGTCTTTTTAGACAATTGGTCTAATTCTCAAGTCGAACTGTGTTGGCTCCAATCGTCTCCCTGTAGAAAGCCTTTCCATAGGATTGGTAGATAATCCCTCGGTCGGTAACCCTTGGTTACCGTGGGTAATAGGATTCTGGTTACTGTCACCGGTTTTGGGAGTCACCCTCTCGGTTGCAGTTTGTACCTGAACCTAGTTGTAACACTCCTCGAACTCCATTGGGTTCGATGGTAGTATTCTCAGGAGTTCCAGACTCTTCTGGTTATCGTAGGGTGGATGTGAATGTATTGGTCTTTCATTAAGATCCTTTACTATTCATCATCATCTCTTTGCACGAAAACGTCCCGTTACTTATAGTCTATGCCAAAGATATCTCGTTCTTGAAGCCTAGTAACCTTCTGGGTAGTTGACGGATTCACTCCGTTATACTTCCCAAACCTAGCCGAATGTCCCCTCTTATATATCCTGTGAACAGGAACCGGTCGGACGGACGGCGGCGACGTATACAGTGTTATTTTAACACCTTCGATTCTGTGGCATAATACTCACAGGACGCAACTTAGATTGATATGTATGATAATGCGCGGGCCCTGTAAGGGGGCCGGAGGGGGGTGTTGGAGACCTGAGATTTCGATTTCGGGAGAGGTTACCCTACCTAGGGTGGTTCCTAAGTATTGGATCTCAGTATTCCTAACATTCCTGCAGGAGAGCTATCGACTGATGATCTTTTCTTTGGGGTTACTGGGCTTGCTGCCCTCTAGGGCTCTGCTGAAATATGATCTAGAGTGTCACTGAATCCCCATCGGTTAAGGTTTTGGTAGTTGATGTCGATATCTTCTTCCCTATCTGGGTTGAAGGATGCCGTCTCGGATCGTTTGGCGTCGCACTAGGGCACACTTTGTAATGTAAAAATCCCTCCTCGGATGGTTAGTTCTTGGTGATGGGGAACAATACTTCTCTTCTCTTTCTTCTTCTTTCTTTATCTTACGATAGCGCTAGGCCTCTGCTTACGTTATCGATAGTACAAGACCTCTGTCTTCTATCAGGAACGTATATTGTAAGCTTTCTCTAATTCTTCTTCGTGAAGAACCTTCCTTGGTATAACAATAACTTTGCAATAAAGATAAAGATCGTAAAGGTGTTTTGTATTCTTTTAAAGTAATAAGTAGGAAAAGTACTTTGAACAAAACGTGAAGAACCTATCCTCCTTGGCCGCCTCAACCTCCTTATATAGTGTTTTTCCCGCCCATAGTCTTGTAACTCAAAGTGGTCACATGTGCGAAACCAAATCATAACCAACTAGTCATGTGACCAAAGTGGTCACATGCTTAAAACATATGGCCTCATAGCAAGGTCATGTGTAAAAACTCATAAATCAATCATAACGTAATAAACAAGTCATATGACTTGACTGAGTCATATGCGTAATGCCCATGACCTCATAACGTGGTCATGTGTAAAATATAAATCTTATGTGCAAGGCTTACCTGCAAGGCACCCTCGTAAGGCATACTCACCAGGCACATGTCCTATGACTCATATTTGAGCGATATGTAAAAGCATCACAAATTCCACAAATAACAGATTATATGACTCGAATGAGTCATATATGTGAAACAATAACATCCCTGTGACTCATAACCATGTGTCACGTGAAAACCTTTTTCATGCCAAGCCACATTTGTGATACCTCCTTGGCCGTATCGGCCTCCTCATATAGCATTCTTCCTGCCCGTAGTCATGTGATCCAAAGCAGTCACATGTACAAAACCAAATCATAACAAACTAGTCATGTGACCAAAGTGGTCACATGCTCAAAACCCATGACCTCGTAGTAAAATCATGTGCAAAAACTCATAAACCAATCATAACACAATAAACATGTCATATGACTTGGCTGAGTCATATGTGTGAAACCCATGACCTCGTAATGAGGTCATGTGTGAAACCTAAATCATATGCGCAAGGCATACCCGTAAGGCACACTCACAAGGCATACTCATCAGGTGCCCGTCCTATGACTCATATTTGAGCCATGTGCGAAAGCATCACAAATCCCACACATAATAAATCATATGACTTGAATGAGTCATATGTGTGAAACAATAATATCCCTGTGACTCATAACCATGTGTCACATGAAAACCTTTTCCTCGCCAAGCCACATTCGTGACATTATCATATCACTGTTACTCTGCCATGATAGTTGGCCCACTACCCCAACCCCAGAAGAAAAGAAGTGGCTTTATATGAGAGCTATAGTTGGTACAAACAGTATGTTGTAATATTTGTTGCCTTTTATCCCCCCCTGAATGGCTGGATTGCAACCAGATAGTCTTTTCAATAATCTGAGTATAAGTATTATCTTGTAGATACCAGAAAGAGACAGGAGTTTGGTCCATATTACAGATATTCTGTAATTTGTATCAGCTAACTTGAAGAGAGGTGAGATGTCTTTCCTGTATTGGAGGATCTTTTGCTTGAGGTTAGAAGTTGTGACAAATGAATTGTAGCCGGCTAACTATTGCACTTGTGAAATCAGTTGGAAGTTGACTGTTTCTGCTAGTTACTTGTCTAATGCTAATATGGTGCCACAATAAATACCCTTAAATCTAGCCATTTGAGAGGGTGAATCTATGACAGGTATCTTCTGTATTCAGGTACTAGTTTTGGAACAGTTTCCTGCTAACCTTATAAAACTAGCTTCACCGAACATGACATCCTAATGCCCACCTCTTCCTGAATCTTTTGAAAAGCTTTTTTTCTATTTTGGGCCATTGTCATCCTCTTCCTCCACCACTCATCTGTTTCTGCTCTCCTTTCATTACAGTAAACTTTCCCTCTGCCTCTTCTTTCTTCCAGGATGAAAGGTTTGATGCAGGAATGCAAAACCTTTTTGCCACCTCAGCACAGGTCACCTCATGTTCCTTGGTTGGCCCAATACATATTTAGGCTCCTATCTAATATGAGAGAATGTGGAATTTAAAAATAGCTGTATAGGACCGGTATAGATTTTCTGCTTTTGTTGGTTTAGTTCTCAGAATCTTACAAAGAGGCTTTCGCTTTGGCCCACTTTTTGTTTTTTATACAAGCATAAAATCGATTGGAAGGCAGAGGTGGGATATTCGTTTAAACCCAAGTATGACCACAGGGTTGGGAGGGCATGTGGATTTTCTCTTCTCAAAGTAAAAGAATAGTTGAAGGGACTGGTCTTCTGTCACTAGTATTGAGAGTCTGTACATATTTTATTTATTTACATTTTGTATACATGATTGAATGAGGTTGAGAAACACTTCGCATGATGTCGAGTGTTTTTGATTTTTTAAAGTTCAAGACACTAATTTCCGCTTGAACGGGTTTCACACGTTCTTTGGACTACCTAGCACATGGTCCAATTATTCGAGTTTTTATGGTATCTGATACAAATTTCAAGGCACCCGCTGCCCACCAATTTACTCAACCTATCCTCTATTAGTTGCTTCTGGGGCCGTTTATCTAGAGAGCGGCTATTGGTGCGGTCGGCCGCTCCACTGCTTGGCTGTGTATGCAGGATGCTGGGTTTTTCGAGTTTTGCAAAGGGCCCACTAGTCCCATTTCGCCACGTCCGCTATATTGGTAATGTATTAAAGTACTATAATTAGGTTGCGGTTGATTGTCGATTTGGGAAGGGTACGGCAGTCATTAGCCAGCGCCGGCTAAAATTGTTACTTGAGCCGCGCAATGTTATTCGCTACTCTCCAGAGGTGGAGTGTTGGTATGATGTTTGGGAATACGGTAGTCTATGCGTCAACAATAGGGAACTCAAGAAGAGGCCCTCGGACCACTTATAGGAAGGTTTCCACTAGTTAAAAAACGCCTCGCAGAACAGCCGCCACTACAGGATAAGAGAAATCCCGGCTGTGATGAAACTCGTTTATCACATAAGAAGCAATTCTGAACGAGTACTTGTATGCCGGAGGACTAGCTGGTTTATGTTTTTTTTTTTGGAAATAGTAGTTGGCAATAAGCCACACTTCACAATCAAATACCGGTAGTAAACGAGGATTGAGTATCTCCAGCCGCCAGAATATATACCCCCAATAAGACCTGGGAAAAAAGGTGTCATGGTAGTGCGCTAGTTCCTTCTATCCAAGGCCAACCACACTTCTTCATGTCTTCTCACCAGCGCAGAACGGGCGACCCGGCGCCGCCCTCACCGACCGGGGATGCCAATTCTGACTTTGGCCTCAGAAACGGCAGTGGGCACAACAGAGCATGGGGAGCTACGCTGGACCCAACGCACAATCCGTTACTAAGACAACCTAGCAGTTCAAGCCCATCTTTCGAGGACGGAGACGAAAGCGTAAGATCTGAGCTTCACTACTACCTCACCAACCCACCGCAGCGAAACCCTACCAGGCGGATTTCCATCCCCCGAAAGCCGCTCTCAGCCTGCCCTCCAGCCACTGCGATCCACACGTCCTCAGATCCAGGTCGAACCAGCGGCTCCCCTGCAGAACCTATCCCTCCAAAACACTGGATGCGGGCACTGGGTGCTCTCTCTCCAATACTCATGATGGTCGAGCTATTTTTTCTCGGAGTAGCCTTCACCATAGGCCACTACGTGTTCTACAAGTCCTGGCGGGACAGTATAGTTGAGGAGAACTTGGGACAAGAATACATTATCTGGGCGGGCACTGCGTTTGCGTTCCTGTCGAAGGCATCGCTGGTTGGCGCTGTCGTAGTCGCTCATAAGCAGATTGCATGGGATACGGTGCGCAAGAAGGCTATCACTGTGGATGGGGTTGACGCGATGTTTGTTGCGCCGACTGATTTTACCTCTTTTTGGAATCGGGATATGTTGAAGAGGGCAAAGGTTGCTACTATACTTGCGCTACTGGCTTGGTATGTTTCTTCTGTCTTCTATCTACAGGGCGTTATGGGATTATACTGATAAGGATGAACAGGTGTGTTCCTATATCAGCGGTTATAACCCCTGGTTCGTTCTCAGTGAGCCTTGTCCAGCGGCAATTCAACACCTCAAAGCCCATCCCATCCACAAACTTCAGTGATCCAACAGGCTTTGTAACAAGTCTAACACTTACTGTCCTCCAAGACGGGACTGGAAAGACGAACGCCCCCGAGGCGATCTCCGGCGCAACGATAGCACCAAGCGCACTCCTATCTAGGATCGTCAGCACAACTGCTACTAGCGGTACCATCCTCCCGATTAAACCCCCACAACCAAATTCCTCTTATGTAAACAGCTTCCACGGCCCCTCTCTCCGGTGTACACCTGCGGACCTCCGAGCCACGCAGGCAATCCGGCGAACAATGAACTACGACGAGTCTGGGAGAATCCGGTACGCCACAATCTATAACCCCGAAATCAGCGGCGATACATGCAGCATTTACGTAGGCCTAGCCTACAACACCACCACGGTTCAAAACCGGACGTACAGCATCTGCGGACCAAACGGAGGCGGGTGCATGGTGAACTTCGCCCAGGAAACGAAATTCGACGATCCGAGCATGGGCCAAGCCTTCTCCTGCGAACTTTACAACACGTTTTTCACCGTGAATGTCACGTTCCGGGATTCAACACAGACGCTCGGTATACAGAAGTTGGAGTATTTAAACCCCGTCTCTTGCGCGCCATTAGCACCGCCCGTCACAAATCGCCAACCCTTCGCGGAGTGGAAAGCCTCCTATGCGGTCTTCGCTGCTATGGGCGATATACTCGTTGGGAACATTACAAAGAACCGTGACAGCGGGTTCAGAGGCCTCAACCCCGTGTCGTGGGATACTAGAATCCTCCAGACAACGCTGATCGGCAGTTCCGATTTCGCGAACATGAATATAACGAATCGCCCCAACGACATGTACACCGGACCACTAGCTCGGGGGATCGAAGAGTTGTCTCGGAACATCACCCTCAGCCTCCTTAGCTCCGATACTTTCGGACTGCCGATAAAAAGCGACGTGCTCGTCACACGGCAGGACACTAGGTACCTTTTCAACGAGAGGAGCTTCTGGCTTGCCTATGGTATTGCTATATTTGTGGCGGCGGGAGCGGTACTCGCTGGTATCGTGGCGTACTATGCGAATGGCGTTAGCCTCGAGCCGAATTTTTCCACGGTCATGGCTACCACGCAGTCTGATGAGATGCAGGAGTTGGTCCGGGGTGTTAACGTTGATTTTAGGGAGTTACAGAAGGTGGTTGGCGGGAGGGAAGTTAGGTTACGCAAGCTGCAGAATGGTGATCGGAGGTTCGTGGTTGTGGGGGAGGTCAAGGGATAAGGTGTTGTTTTGATTTGTTTTGGCGTCCTCATTATTTTCGGGGGTTGGGAATTTTGGATTGTATTTATTGTATTATACTTGTTTTTTTTTCCTTTTCGGTGGAGATGTACAGTACAGTACAGTACTTGGGGTTGGAATAACTATCCAGGTGGCCAAACAAAAGTTTTACAAAGTTTTGTATGTGCTGCAACATCCCTCCGCGGCCAAGATTCTTAAAATTCTTGTGCGCACACCCTGATGCTTTTTCTCGCCCTGAGTCTATTCGGATCATATGAGCGTGTATAAGTTAAAACCTGATTATCGGGCTTCTGTGAAAAGTGCGGGAAACTGCATGACAGCGATGGTTACTCCAAGAACCAAGTTTCAAGATACAGCTAGTTTTATCTTCACAGTAACTTTATAGAAAAACTGCACATTCAAAAAAAAACTTTAATATTTTTTTGTAATGATTAAAATTCTCTCCAGCCTAACTTGTTTATACTTATCAATTTAAATTTATCAATAAGGTTAACTACATTGTTTTACATGATTTCTTGTTCATTGAACCAAGTGGACGACTACATCTTTCAGGCAAATTACCTAGCATTTCTACCCCTTCTGCCGTAGAAGCTTGTATTCCAACATCCTTATTATCATCGACATTTTTTTTTTCAGAACTTGTTAGTGTTTCAGATCCTGTTGTATTAGTTGTAGTTTGAACATTCTTCTGAACATTTGAAGATCTAGAGTTATTTTTGTACTAGCTAGTTTAATTCTCACAGTCTTTACAGACTGGGCTTCTTCAAATATTGTAGATGATAGCATAGTATAAAGTGAGGTAGATCTAATATATTCAGGGGCATATAGGCCATACTTACTCCACCTGTTGTATTGTTTTTCTGGCTTTAAATCCAATGGTGAGATTGATTCTGAAAATACCATACCAATTTGTTCTATGGTGACATTTGACTTCATAAAATCAAAGCTCTGCTATTCATCTAATGGCAGTTTCTTTGCCATTACTGTACCTGGAAATTCTTTGAGAAATAAAAATCCATGAAAGGTATGAATACCTTAAAGTATCTTGAATAATGAGGTTAGTGATGCCTCCTAATTGTAGAATACCTCTTCATCTGCCCCATCCTCAAAGAGATTTACTAGTTCAATAGTTTCATTTTCAGTAGGTGGTACTACTACTGCAGTATAGTCAGCTGGAGTCCATATGTCTTGCTTTAAAGCCTTGTACTTTGCAATACCAAATCCACAATCTACTGAGTTTCTAGTATGTCCTTTGACTTAAGAGTAAAGCTCAGCACTATCTACCCAGCCCTATTATACAAACCAATACAAATATGCTGTTATTGTCTTATTTTTATTCTGCCTACTACAGTTATCAGTCCACAAGTGTATATGTGGCTTTACCTTCCCTCCAAATATAAGATAATAGTGTAGAAATAACACAACCTGGTTAGAATCCTCAGGTTACTGTGCTTCTATGTAGAGTAGATGATAATGCTTAGATTGAGATTTATTTTTATTGACAATACCAAAAGAATATAGCTGTCATGAATGTAGCTTAGTAAGGAAAGAGTTTTCACATGACTCATAGTTATGAGTCATAGGTAGATTATGATGTTAATGGATATGACTATTTTTGGTCATATGACTTGTTTATATGTTTTGCATATGACCTTGTTATGAAGTCATGGGTTTTTTGCATGTGACTACTTTGGGTCAAATGACTGGTTTATTGTATTATGATTGGTTTATGTGTTTGTGTATATGACCACTTTGGCCATATGACTTGTTTGTTATGATTTGGTTTCACAGAGGTGACTACTTTAGTCACATAATGGGGGCATGAAGAACAACTATATAAGGGGTTAATAGGACCTAAGGACGATGAGTTCTGCATGTGTTGTTCTAAGAACTTTTCCTCCTTATTTCTTATGTCTTTATGAATATAAAATACTGTTACACTTTTTACTAGGCACACAACCTTTATTACTATTAAAGCAAAAAGAGCTCTACATGAGATAGAGTTAGAGAAAGCTTATGATAGGCCTTACAGATAGAAGACGTTGGTCTTATACTATCAGTAATGTAGGCTGAGGCCTAAAAGCTATTATATATGGAAAGAAGAAGAGAAGTAATGTTACCTGTCATTAAGTACTAACAACCTTAACCGTGATTGTTACAATAGCTTAAAGGGAGAGAAAAAGTACTACTAGCTAGGCTGTTGAGAAAGTTTTAGAATCTCAACCACTTGCTGAAAGTCAAAGGAGTAGCACCTAGTATGTGTAGAATATGCTATAGATTGTTAGATAGTGGCTTCATAATAGTTGTGGCATTCTTGATACTTTTCTCTGTATTGATCTAGTTGGCTTTAGATTACAAACCATTTAGAAATCTCAGCTAGACTGCTAGTAGTATTGTTTTTTCTATTCTTAAACTTTAGTTGATCTTTAAGAATAGTACAGTTATCTCAAATTTCCATGGCTGGTTACTCTATATGCATTTTCTTAAACCTTGGATACTTTTTCCAGTAACTAACCAAGCTTCTAAGTGAAAGCTTAATACCCATAATACACTCTTTTAACTGTGAATGAAAAATGCAAAATGAGAAGTATGAGGGTAGTAAGACTTGATTGTTAAGTTCTACTTTAGTAATAACTACATCATTCTCCATAGTTCTTTTATAAGATCTTGTAGCTACTGGTTCCCCATGCTCACCTTTAAGTTTTGTAAAAAAGGTCTCTAACTGCTCGTAAGTGGATACTGGGAAAGTATTATGAGATGGGTTTACACTATTCTTATGAGATGGAGGAGTAGCTAACTTTCCTAATTGTAAGTATGCAAGCAAGCTGTATAACTGAGATATTTCTATAATTCAGTACCAGTGAAAGAGGACGCAGTATACATACTGAATAAAGATAAAATATAGTGATTTTGACGTATTCGTTGGGTCATATCCCTTTCACCATTTACCAGTTCCAAGAATGATCACTTATTATACTTTCTACTCTCATGTAGCTTTGCGAAATGCATTATACTTGCTATTAAGTAACTTGCTATGAGCTAATACTACTTAACACTCATCACACAATTGGTTTTCATCCAGGTAAACCATTGCACAAATGATGCTTTAGTAGAGCAGTTTTCCCTACACTTACTAACAGAGTCAATTTTTCTTAAATGGTCAGCATATTGAACTTGTTCTTTGCTACTGTATAGCTTAAATTGCTCTTCAATTATGGCTTGATTAGAATTAACATCTGAATCTTAGTATACAAGTAGTCAATTAGTACTTAGTTGACATTCTTCTTATAATTAATTATGCAATAATAGTAGACAATAATAGTTTATAAGAAAAATTACAAACCATAAATTTTCCACTCATTTTCATTATCTACTTTAGACACTAGTTGCTTTTCATCTAAGCTGAATTGATTATGAGAATACTCATTATTGGAGTCTTCAGCTAACTCAATTGAAATGAGAGGTATGTCAGATATTACTACAGATATCTGATAGGATTCTTTGAGGCTTGCTATTTACTCTATTAGTATATAAAACAGGAGACAATCAATATGAATTCATAGGATCCTACAGCTAAACTGTTGTCAAAATTTAGAAAAAAATGAGGGTGATAAGAAAGATATACTTATTTAATAAGTTTAAAGTGTTCAAAGACTGATACAGTAGCAATTGAACTGCCTAAAAGTAACTTTTTCAAACTCAATATCTTGAGACCAATGATATTACATAAGCAAGTCTTCAATGTTGCAAAATAGTTATTCAACTTTAAAGTATAATAGTTTAATAACTAGTTATCTATTTTATACAATTTTTGATTCTATGAATACATAGGAAGCTAAAGATATTTTAAATAGTAAAAAGTAAATTTGAGAAATTTTTACTATTCTGGACATAAAATATGCTATAGACATCATCTGGACGTCTAAAATATTTTCTGAGCTACTGTGTACCTACTTTACATAACTAGAAAGCTGGTTTCTTCCCTAAAAAAATTAATTGTTTTGTGTTGAGGTCAGATAATCAGGTTTTAAATTATAAACACTCATATGATATCTGTTAGATAGAATTATTCCTTGGCTGTACACTGTACATTTCTTCTGTAACAATGTATCACGAATGTGGCTTGGCGAGGAAAAGCTTCTCACATGATACATGGTTATAAGTCACAGGTATGTTATTGTTTCACACATATGACTCATTTGAGTCAGATGATTTGTTATGTTTGGGATTTGTAATGCTTTCACACATGGCTTAAATATGAGTCATGGGATGTGTGCCTGACGAGTATGCCTTACAAGTGTGCCTTGTGGGTGTGCCTTGTGCATGTGATTTATGTTTCATACATGACCTTGTTACGAGGTCATAGATTTCATGCATCTGACTCAGTCGAGTCATATGATTTGTTTATTGTGTTATGATTGGTTTATGAGTTTTTGCACATGACCTCGCTATGAGGTCATGGACTTTGAGCATGTGACCATCTTGGTCACATGACTAGTTTGTTATGATTTGGGTTCGTACATGTGACCACTTGGAGTCACATGACTATGGGCAGGAAGAACACTATGTAAGGAGGCCGATGCGGCCCAGGAGGATAGGTGCTTCACGCTTTGTTCTAAGTACTTTTCCTTCTTCTTTCACCCCATGTTGGAACATGAAGGTTCAGTGACGATCCAATCAGAGCCCTTGATTTCTATCTCGCGATAGGCTTCAAGTCTTTAACTTCGATCACCTTTCAGGGGCATCGTTGTTAATCCCTCCCCTACGATTGCTGGAAGATCTTTCTTCCTGTTACCTATCTTTACGTTTGTTTGTTTACGTCACCTCCTCACGGTCACAATGGTTAAGCGAGCCTCTGTCCCTTCCGCCATGTCTGCTTTACATTCATCATTGGTTCTGTCTCGTGCCATCTGGAAGAACTTCGCCCTGGAGGCTAAAGTCTCTAGCCTTCAGCATCACATCTCCGTCCTTTCTCGGTGATT